ATGTTGAATAGGGCAGCCCATACTCAGACTCCCACTAACCTGACACATCCTGTTGTAAATCCAACTTCGTCCAAGAGCAGTTTAATTTATAATCCACCATTCGCAGTTCATAACAAGATCACTCAAGGAGGGTTCCTCAATCTCCTTAAACCTCTAATTTTATGATGTGATAATTATGCCATCCACGGAGGACAGGGGGATGAGAAAAAAAGATATCCGTCTGTGTCTTTAGCTTGTTTCTGTTTCTCAGATGTGACGCAGTAAATATTTACTGATGTTTCAGGAATACAAATGCTTTTATGCTGCATTTAGTTTATTTTTCTCTCCTTTAAAGTTAGCCTCTTAAGATTGATTTGTACTTGCTGAAGCTGACTAGAAAGTCATTTACTCACTGTTCATGCAGTCAGGCATAAATCTTCTTTATACACCTCCCCTCCTGGCAGCTAACTCACCAGACATGGTGACTCCCAAGCCAGTTGCTTTATTTATTTGTTTGTTTATTTATTTATTTATTTAACTAATTAACTTATATGCCACCCACTGTATCCAAAGGATAAAAGATAAAATGATTAAAATACAATTAAAATTGCGATCAGGACCCGCAGTTGATGTTATTTCAATTAAAAGCCTTCTGGAACAGGAAAGTTTTGACCTGGTGCCGAAATGTCATCAATGTTGACGCCAGACGAATTTCAGTTGGGAGGGCATTCCATAGTCTGGGGGCAGCTGCCGAAAAGGCCCTTCATCTACAAGCCATCCCTCTTACCTCCTTGAGAGATGGCTCTTTCAAAATGGCCCCCTGGCTAGATTTTAACTGCCGGCTCATATGGAAGGAGGGGGGGGGAAGGAAACTCTCACGAAGACAGAGTTGCTGTCTGAATTCAGAGGTTTCCCAGCCCTACTTGCTGCAGGTCCACTCTCCTGTGGAAAACGTGTCCCCCCTTCACTTCTGGGGGGTCCGTTGACTCGGAGTTTACACAGGGATTCCCCTGTTCTCGCTGGCATCACTCCGCCTCCTTCCCTTGAACCTATGCCTTTGAGAGTGATGTTCTATTCCTACATATTCTCTTTAGGAATTATGTCTGGGTGACAGATAGTTACGTCAGAACAGGTGTCTCGGATATCTAAATAATTTTTGTTGTAAATAAAAATCATTTCCCCAGGGCTTTCAAATAAATCTTGATTGCACTTGATCAAAAAGCATTATGTCACTTTAGCCTCAGGAAGCTCTGGGCTCTCTGCCAAGTCTGTTCCCTTGGTAACAGTACTGCTGCTGGTAACTTCAGCTGCCGAAGGTTGAAGGAAAAATACTTTTTTAGGGTGATTAAAATTTCCATTTTTAGGCTAACTGAAATTTCGTTTTTTGGGATTTTCACATTGAACCCAAAAATGTCTCTCTTCCCCACAGGGAAAAAACATTTCTTATAGCCCTATGCTCAGAATAAAGGGATTTATTAACTTTTCTCTCAGAGCTATTTGGTTTCAGGGGACTTTGCTCTGGGAATAAGGGTTTCGCTTTAAAATGGCTTCCCTTAGCTTGAGCAAAACTGAGGTAATTTTTACTGGGTTTACTGTCGCCCCACACTTTTCTACCAAATTTTACCTCAGAAAATTGAGGATCTCTGATCCCACTAGTAGAATCAGCATATTCAGACGCCCGCAGCACATTTTTAGTATCCTTGTCCTTGACTAGATAACGTAACTCCCCTGGTAAAAATAAATAGAGTGGTCCTGATACGACCAGATAGGCGGGATATAAATAAAATAAAATAAAATTGGTCTACTCCAAACACTTTTTTCATTTGTTCTAAGGAAGTGATATGTTCCTGCTCTAACCGCCTATTAAAAAACTGAGTCAACCTTGCCCCAAGTTGATCAAAAGACTCCTCAGGGTTCTTTGTAACTGATCAAAATTTTCTTCTGAGGTGCTCTGAATTAATCCCAAATCTGGAATATACACATCTTTCTCTCAATATCTCTAGCTTGTTCAAAAGGCATGTGTGCATAGATCTCAGATAAACCTCCCCCTATCTGTGATCTTAAAATTATCATCCTTTCATCATCTTTAACCCGAAGTCCCAACAAGCTCTCTCAAAAGAAATCAGGAAAGATTCAGGACAATCTCCATTCCGATACTGAGGAAATTTCTTTGGGTCGATCTTAATTCCAATGTGATAAATTCCTCAAACACACTGGAATTATTATTTTGAGCAGCTGATTCCAATTTCTTCATCTCTATTTGGAATTGCATTTCTCTTTGCTTGGTTTCTAGCTCAAATTCCCTTTTCCTTTCTCTTTCTTTAATTTCTAGTTCCCTGAGTTTGTATTCTTGTTCTAATTTCCATTTTTCAATATCTTGGGGAACTTGGGGTATTTTCTTCCTCTGAGGCAGTTATTAGTGAGCCCTCAGTTTCTTCCTCACTTTGAATTTGAGGGTTCTCATTTCACTCAGCACCTTGGGGCTCAGCTTGTGCCTCCATAACCAACTTATTTCATTTGGGTGGCATAAACAACACAATTCCTTATTACTAGACTGGTTCTTTTTCCCTCACCAGAGCCAAAAGGACCTTTCTTTCAGTGGCTTTCCTTATAACTAGGTTTTCGAAGCAGCTCAGGCTTTCCTTATAACTAGGTTGCACTTTTCGAAGCAGCTCGGCTACTCCCAAGCTCGCAGTCCTTGCCACAATATTTCCCTGTCTGGGTGATCCTTGTCTCCAGACACAAGAACAACTTTCTGCTTACCTTTTCTTTACTTTTAGCTTTTATTATCACCTCAGATCTATCCTGACTTAGGCTTTTACCCCATCTGCTACCACTCTTTTCCCTCAGAGCTCCAGATTTTGAGCTTAGCCACTTGGTCTTGTAAATCCTAGGGTAAATGGTTTCTCTTGAGTAGGTATTTTCCCTATCTTAGGATTCTCCAGATCTGGGTTCAGAAGCCCCGCAACTAAGTCTTCCACAAGACTCTTAATGGGTAAGATCTGGGTTCAGAAGCCCTGCAACTAAGTCTTCCACAAGACTCTAACGGCTCACCTTACCACAGATTCTAACCCCTCCTAGCTAGGAGTACCTTCAAACTCAAGCCCATTCAATTTTTTACTAGATTGTTTCATATCCCACTGCTGTGCCACCAATTTGTCATGTTCCCGCCTGTCCCTTGGTTGTTTGACTAATCAAAGGACACAAGCTAAGTGTTGTGTCGCTGCCACCAGTTGATTACATCAACATTATGTATTATTAATAATAGAGGTCCAGGCAATGTGTCATTTTAAATAGAACCAAACAAATGTTGTTTATCGTTACAGGTCATGAAGGTACAATCAGTGTCTTAAACTCTTAACCAAGCATTCCACTTCATCCACCCTCAAACATCAGCTCCCTCTCTGTCCACCCCAAACTTCCAAAACTACAATCTCTAAATCCTTCAAAACTTCCTTCTCTACTCCTCCTCCTGCAGAGAATCTTATACCTCGTGACTCCGCCTCTCCAGCACTCTCATCAGTCCATGCAGATAGCATATGAATATTCATGAACTGGGTGGACGCCACACCAACAATAACCAAATGGTATCGAAGAAGAAACACAATCACAAAGTCAGTCCAAAAACTCACTCACACTGACACTGATTGACTCCAACTCTTTCCCACACAGCTTCTGACTGCACAGTAGCAAAAATGTCATGCGCTGTCTCTCAGCCACTCAGCATCATTCACTTGCATGTTCTCTCCATGTGCAGAAATATCAAACAGTTATTTGCTATCAGTTATTTTCATAACCAACTGTTTTAATGGAGATGATAGCTTATAAAAGCCAGGTTTGACACAAACAAGCAAGGGAAATTAATATTTTGTTCTGTTTCCCTTCCTTCCTTCCTTCCTTCCTTCTTTCCTTTTTTAACTGCAAAAGACCATAACATTCCTTCAGGCCTTCACAAATCCTCTGTGAGGACATTGCAGGCCCCCAGGGCTCCACAAACCATAAGTTAAAAACCTACGTTTTAGATGATAATGTGTTTTAATATGGATTTTGAATTTCTACTCCCTCTGGTAGTTCTGGGAACATAGAAGGTTTCCATCTAGCTCCGTATTCTTTATGGGGACTATCAGGAATATTCTAGGATTTCAAATATGGTGGTGCCTTGACTTACGAGCATCCTGACATACAACCATTTCAAGTTGCAACCAGCTCCGTCCTCAAAATTTTGCTTTGACTTGTGGCACGAGCTTTCAGTTACAAATAGAAAAAGGCAGGGGAAAGGCGGGGAATTCAAATTAAAGGGCTAACCATTGGTTGGCGAAGAGCATCTTTGTAGCTCTTTCGCCCTAACGGTTAGTGTGTGCACGTTTGCAGAGAGGCTTCGGACTGCCTGGATGATTACATTTACAGGGTTTTACAGGGTGGGTTTGGGCTGGGGGGGTTATCTTTCTATGCTGTCATTTTTTGGTTTTTTTGGTGTGTGTGTTTTCCCAGCCCCATGGTGTTCCGATGTTTTTGAATAAAATTTAAACCAACATTAAACACCTAATTCCAGAGAAGAGCATGTGGTATCAAAATGCTCTCTCCAGTAAAAGTGAATAGATAAGATACTATTTTTAGAAGGTAGAAAGGAAAAGAATATGTGAGGGCCAGTTGAATCCTGTCAGGCCAGTCTGTTCTCCGTCTGACTCTTGTAGAGAGGCTAATATTCATTTTGTGCTTCCCTGATAAGTAGATTGTGCGTGTGTGCGTGCATATCTTCATCACAGAATTTGATATCTCCTGTCATGCAGATAGCTTCTTTCATGGGATCAGTCTTTTTCCTGTACAAAATGAAGATAACTTTTTCATTAGCAGATGAAGGAAGGAGATGATAACATGATAAACACAGTAAGATCCCAAAATGAATTTTGAAAATAGAGAATTTTTTTCATTTGGCCCATCCCACAGGTGTGTTTAATTGGTCAGATTACATGGTTGAATTTTAAATGACGGTTTACAACATCTGTCTTCTGATTTTGTAGGTGAAATAATTGTAACAACTCCACACAGCCTTCTGCGGCTGCTTGAATACCAGTGCTTATTGTTCCTTAGGCTCTGTCATCTTGTGCTTGATGAGGCTGATGTGCTTTTCTCTGAGGACAGTGATCAAGTAAGTGTGGCTTTTGATCTTGTGATAGAAATGCCTGTGCTACTGCACACCAGAGACCTACATCCAGTTTGATGATAGTGTAGTTAAAATCCTCCCCTACCATAGTTGCACTGAATCACACTGGCGTACAAATGGTTCTGTAACTACATGGAAAGACAAAACACATTGACCACCCCACTAACACTATCTGAAAATGCAGTCACCAGTATAACAGACCTTGCAGTAGGCCTAATTAATTTCAATGCAACAGCTGTCGCTGCATTTTTCCTTATTTCTAACAATAATCTTACGTATCACCACAATACAAAAAAGACGCTGAGGCCCTGGAAGGGGTGTAGAGAAGAGCAACAGAGATGATAAGGGGACTGGAGGCTAAATCCTATGAAGAATAACTAAAAGAACTAGGTATGTTTAGCTTAACGAAGAGAAGACTGAGAGGAGACATGATAGCAATCTTCCAATATCTGAAGGGTTGCTACAGGGAAGAGGGCATCGATCTATTCTCCATTGCGCCTGAGGGTAGGACAAGAACCAGTGAGTGGAAACTTGTCAGAGGGAGATCCAGCCTGGAAATGAAGAATTTCCTTTTTTTTTTTAAATAATTTTTTAATTTTATTTTCAAAACTATTGGGTAATGGGGAAGGAATACAAAAGGCATTTCTCCAAATGAAGAAATGCCTTCTCCAAATGAAGAATTTCCTGACAGAACCATGAATAGCTTGCTTCTCAATGTTGTGGGTGCCCCATTGCTGGAGGTTTTCAAGAAAATATTCGACAGCCATCTGTCCAGGATGGTATGAGGTCTGGGATGGTATGAGGTCTGCTGCCTTGGGCAGGGGGTTGGACTAGAAGACCTCCAAGGTCCATTCCAACCCTATGACGATTCTATGATTCTATAATATTGCTTTCCTAAGAAATTATGCAGATTATTTCCTCTTTTATAGATATTTAAAATTTTGGAATGTTACAAAACAAATTTGAGTGTTGAAGGTAAAGAGTCTGCACCACAACAGATTGTTGCTGTTGGAACACATTGGAACAAAAATATAGATTATTTAATGGAAGAGTTCATGAATGATCCATATGTAGTGATTACTTCCTTGCAAGAAGCTGCCATATATGGCAAGGTACAACAGGTAAAAAGTGATTGGGTTTTTTTCTATATAGCTCTTAGATTGTAGTTTTGTTTTGTTTTTGTTTTTACACACAATGGAATATGAAACTGAATACACTACAGTGAAATTTGTGTGGATAATAATTGAAATATGAGCATTTTGTTTTTACACACAATGGAATATGAAACTGAATACACTACAGTGAAATTTGTGTGGATAATAATTGAAATATGAATATTTGTGAATAGAGGTGTATAACATCTCTCATTGCATAGGGGAGTGAGACAGAAAGAATGCATAACTGCCAAATTTACGGGATTTTGCAGACACAAAAAGTATGAGCACTGTAACTTAAAACTCCTGTGAGTCTTGGAAGTTGGAATCCTGTTGTCAATCCTTTTATTTAAAAAAACAGCCATTTTTAAATAACTGTAAATGGCATCTGAAATGGCTTGCAAAACAGTTCTTACTGGTTTACTTGTGACAAATAAATTGTTGATCAAGTAACATTTCAGTAGAAGAAAAACATGTTTTGATGTGCACAGAATTTCTTCAACATATTATTTGGAACAAAGATTCTTTATGAAAGAATTCTGAACATCTCTAAAGTTCATGACTGTTTGCCAAGACAACTGAACCTGGAATCCTGTCTGTTGTAAAAGTAATATTTAAATAGAGTTACACCTGTTTAAAAATCCTGATAAAATGTAATTCAGAAGGAGAAATGCAATAATGTCTGAAAACCTGTCCAAGCGACTACACTGGGTAACGTAGAATCGTAGATGATGTCATCAGCAGTGCAGCTTTTCAGAAATCAAACCATAGATAGAATTATGGTGATGTCATCAGTAATAAATGGCAAAATTAAATTACATGAAGATGATTTCAGACAGTATTTGGCTTTTAAAGTTTAAAAATTAATTAATCTATGATCTGACCATCTCAAACTCCATGTGATTCTAGGTAGTACAGCTCTGCCTTGAATGCAACCGCATGTCTGCTTTACTTCAGATTCTGGATTTTACACCTATGGATGCTCAAAAGACATTGATTTTCACTAGGAGTGTGGAAGAAATGGAAGTGGTTCACAAGGTATTTTTTTACCTAAACAGTCAGATTTCCAAGTTAATGTTATTGTCAGATATGTTTTATACTGTAACTGGATGGCTTTCCTTTTGGTCACTGACTGGATTTTTGAGAAATCTGGATTTTTTTGGGGGGGGGGGAAGTATGATATTGCCCCTTCTGTATCCTTTCCAGTTCATGGATAAGTACATTCTGAGAATGTAATGGAAAGATGAAGGAGTGCCGTATGTGCATGAAAACACAGAACAAAATAGTGCTTTTACTGGAATTGGTTGAGACCTTATTAAGGAACAATATCTCAGCACAGCAACAAAAAAAATGCTACCATCATAGTGAAAAATAATTGCAGCTGCTCACTATGGCCTGAGCAGTAATCACCTTTGATATTATACAGCCTCCTTGTTTGTGCAATAAAACATTGTTCATTATGTGAGCAGCAAAAATATCAGACCTCTCGTGCTGCAGTCAGTTGCATGAGCAAAAGGATCCTGGCCATTGTCTATATGAGTTCATTACTTAGCTTTCCTCTTTCTTTCTATCCACTTCAGCTAGAAACTCTTTTAAAGCAAGAAGGCAAATATTTAGATAAAAACATCTTTGTAACTGAGCAGAAGGAGGCTCAACTTTTATGACTGATGTCCTCTAGAATCAGAGGCTCCTCACAAGTGGGATGTGATGCAGATTTTTTTCCAGCAAAGTGGAAATTGGCCACACACTTCTCACCTGAAAAGGACATGGTCTGTTTTTGGAATATATCCACAGCTGGCATAGCTCCTCATTCTGTTGCAAAGTAGGTGACTTTCACATCTGGTCTTGAAGGTCAAGATAATGACACTTGAGATGAATTGAGACATACAAGAAACCCAAATATTTTGTGAGTGAGGCAGGGGAAGTTTTTGCCACCACTGTAAGGTGCATGTGACATTAATTCCACATCAGTGAATTTCTTATGACAGTGGTGCCTCACAAGATGATTGCCTTGGGGGACAAAAAATCCACAAGACGATTGTTTTTGCGATCCATGGTGCCTTGCAAGACTTTTTTTCTATGGCCGTGCTTCGCAGGACTTCCCCCCTTGGTGCCTTGCAAGACATTTTTTTCTATGGCCGTGCTTCGCAGGACCTCCCCCCGAGACCGATGCTTCGTAAGACAAATAAATTTCATCTTGCGAGCCGATGCTTCGCAAGACAAATAAATTTCATCTTGCAAAGTTCCCATAGGTGCGAGGCACCACTGTACTTATGTCTCAAAAATCAAGTATGTGTTGATACAAATTAGGCTATCGGAGTTATGGAACTCTTTAGATTAAACTGTAGATTAAATTAATCACTTTGGAAATGCAGGAGAGGTCATGAGTAAGGTTTTCCTGGAAATAGTATTTTCCAATGGGATAAACAGGTTTAATTTTTTAAAACTGTCTCTTTGAATGCCTGTAACTGCAGCTATTTTTAATTCATATTCAAAATGATGTATGATTCTTTTTTTCATAATCAGGCAGTAGAGAGCTCTTCAATATTTTGTTTGAAAATGAACTCAGAAATTGGATTTGATTTCAGTAATGTTGTAGATCAGTGGAACAAACAATTTAATTCTGGCACAAATGTAGTCTTAGGTAAGTATATTTTTTTACTTGAGTAGGTTTATAGGTTTATTCTGGGCCCTTTGGCAGTGACTGATAGTCTCCCTGAAAGCAATTTAATTGTCTAATTTACACCACATTGTCCAGTTCAAGATTAAAGCCAATATAACATCACACTGATTATGATCAAGTTAAATAATATAGTGGTACCTCGCATTACGACGTTAATTCGTTCCAGCGAAATCACTAGAATGAAAACGTCGTAAAGCGAAAATTAAAAAGCCATTGAAACTCATTAAAACCTGGTTAATGTGTTCCAGTCGGCTAAGAACTCACCGTCCAAGCGAAGATCCTCCATAGGGGTGGCCATTTTCAGGTGTCTGTGCAGTGAAAAATGGCTCCTAAACGCAGCGGGGAGCCATTTTGAGCACCCGGTGGCCATTTTGAAAACCCGACAATTGGCTGTTTTGATTGTCGGGAAGCAAAAATCGGGAACCAATCATCGCACAGTGAAATTCCCCTATTCAAAGCATCTTTTTCCGATCGCGAAAACCTCGTTTTAATGCGGATTCGTCGTTAAAAGGAGCACCCGTCTTGCGAGGCACCACTGTAGTTTGTAGTAGTAGTAGCTCTGGTCCATGGGGTCACAAAAAGTCGGACACTATTTAATGACTAAACAACAACAAGTAGTAGTATCTTGGTAACAGGCAGGATTAATTTGTTAACAGAAATTTGGAAAAGCATTTCCCTGTTGTTTTTTTGTTAATAAATTGTATTTCTTTTGATGGCTTCTATGGTTATGTTATATGAATATGACTTGTTATATTAGTACATTTTTTATTATTTAAGTATTTATTATACTTACAGGGTAGGGAATACAAAATGCAGTGGGGAATAGGGAATAGGGGGAAAAAAGGTTAGGGGGATAGGAGAACACAGAGTATACCATCATCCAATCAATTTATATTACAATAACAGATCAACTTTTTGCTTTTTCACAGTTTGATTACCCTACTGCTTTCATCTTATCATTTAATTTTAGTTTAATTCAATGTTTTGTTTGTTTGTTCAGTCGTTTAGTCGTGTCCGACTCTTCGTCTATGTTCCTCCAACACTATCTGGTAACTGCAGCCATTTATACAATACATCCCATCGTTCAGTTTCCTTTTGAATTGAACAATCTTTCCGCCCATCTGACAGAATAACCATTTTTGTCACTTCCCATATTTTCACAATAAGATTCTCTTCTTTCAGTGTTGCTTTCTTGAGATTTTTAACATAATGCTTTTTAATTTTGGAAGCTGCATAGGTCACTGGATAACTCTCTATCCCATCTATGTTACCTGGTGTCATGCCCAATAGAGACAGTTCTAAAGTTTGTGCAGCTTCATTTAAGTTTTGTTTGGCATCTAATATCCCCTCTTTTGTCACTTTCATAAGAGCTTATATTTTGCTAAGACCTTCATGTACTTGCTGAAACCCTGTTATTATTATCTTTTGCATAGTAATCTGCCATTTCTTTTCTATTTCTTGTACCACTGTTCCAAAACTTTGGGATTGAACAAACCAAGTCTCCATTTGTTGTCTTAAATTTGTGGAGGCCATCTCAGGCTTAACACTGAATGGGGTTTGTATAAATAATACTATGCCCTTAACCACAATGATCGCCCCTTATATATCCTTCAACAATTTCCACAATTTTATCAACAATCCAAACCCCTAGTCATAAACCTCCCCTTAGATCTCCCTCCAATCTTTATCCAAATATCATAACATAAAAATCAACTTTTAACCCAGCAAATTCAAAATCAAATAGAACCGTGGCACAATTATTTCTTCTTCTCCAGAGTTTAACAAGCTTATATTGGTTGTTCTCCTCTCCCCGATAAAGGGTTACTCATGGCTCCGTGCCAAATATGGCGCCCGCTCCAATCCGTGCTGGGTGATTTCTTCAGAGGGAACAAGTCTGGGTTTGCATCCCTTCTCCTTCTTCTGCTCACCATCTGCTTCAGAGAGACTTCTCCTAGACTCTCCTTCAATCCCCATTTCAAAAAGGGGATCCCGGACCGGGCGGTTCCAGTTTTTCAGAGAGAGCTCTTCTCTGGAGCTACTGGCAGCACCGGAACAAAGCCCCGCCCAAATCCTTAGTACATTCATTTTAAGTAAGTTTATCAACGTTGCCATTTCAACTTGGGAGCAACTTGTGGAATTTGAAAAGTAAGACATGAGATGCAACTATTGCTTGTTATGACTGATTTTATAAAGTGTTTATCAGTTAGTTGCCTTAAAACCGATTTCCTTCCAGTTATTTAGAAATAGGAATGTACCAGTTGTTTCTGTGTGATACGTCTTTCTGATTTTCCTTCCAGTTTTAACTGATGACTACACAACAGCCTTAGGAATTACAGATGCAACATGTGTCATTCATTTCAGTTTTCCTGCATCTCCAAGAATCTTTGGTGCACGCTTATACAACATGTCTGCTAACTTCCAGAATTCCATTAAAAAGGTCTGGAAACTGTTTTGTCTTTTAAAATATTATATTGAAAGTGTTCAACAGGAAACTTTTATTGGGTTTCTCCCTTCCTCCTCCTTTCCCCATCTTCCAATAAGTCACTTCCACTTCTCCAGTGCTACAACTCTTTTGATTTTCCCAAATATCTCTGTTTCATTCTCAGGTTACCTCCCACTCCCTATATTTGATAGCCCCACTGTTAATATTTTGACTGTAACTGAATTAGGGTTAGGTTTTGTCCTTACGTTCCATAAAACATTATATTTTGATGCTAAAAACTGAAAGCAAATGGTCTGGGTTTTTTTCCCTTTTATAAAGGTTCTTTCAGGAAAAGAACAGCCAAAGGCCAAATCCATCTTACTCTTGACAGAACATAATGCATGCCAGGCAGTTGGAGTACTGAATTATTTAAAACGTGCAGAAGCCACTATTCCACCTGAATTATTTGACTTGACTTCTGGAGTGCTGGAGGCCAGAGAGGAGAGTAAGAGTGAGAGACCTCTTTGTCACCACCTTAAAAAACATGGATTTTGCAAGTAAGAAAACTCCTGTTAAAAAGTTTTATTAAAAATTAGCAGTTAGTCACCTTGTAAATATTGTTCATCAGCTGTATGGTGCAATATGGGACAAGTGCATATTCACCAAGGATCCTGTATTTGTGCCAGCATCTATAGTAGGTATACTCCAGCATGAGCAAAAACAAATTAAAAAATGGTGTGCCATTCATTTTAAAAAAAAATTAAACCCTAGAATTCTCCAATAATTCCTCAGGAATAATTATGGGAGTTGCAGCCCACATACCTACATTTCACTCATCTGAGACAAGTTCTGTCTTATTAGTTGGCTACCTTGGCCCTACTTGGGTTTCACTCATCTGAGACAAGTTCTGTCTTACAGACTAGTTGGCTACCTTGGCCCTACTGTTGTTAACATACAGAAAGGAAACTGTCCCAGTGTTTCCTGGGATGCCTAAAGTTCATGGGAGATGTAGTTCTTTGGAGAAGCCATCTAATAGAGCCTAAAGGCAGCAGGAGTATAGATCCCATGAAGACCTAGGTCTCCCAAGAAGCACTGAGGTAACTTTCTTTCATAAATTTAACAACAATAAGCCCAAGAATAGCCAAGCAGCCTGGAAGGTAAGTCTTGTTTCAGATGAGTGAAATATAGATGTGTGTAGGTGTCCTGCAGGCTGCAACTCCCATAATTCTGCCTGTGGGAGTTCTTGGAGAATTCTGGGAGCTGGGGTTCCCCCCCCGAAAAGGGCAAAGCCCTAACATTTAAAATGTGAATGATGCTAATAATGGTACCCTAACTGTAATGGGATGAGAAGGCTCCTGAACTTGAAATGCACATGGAGATTCAGCCTGATGATGTAACCTCTACTTAACATGTATTTCTGCATGAATCATTGTCCTGAACATGCCTCTTCATTGAAAGAAAGCAAGCATCAACAGTGAGTTTGTTGTGTGCCCTGAAGTCGCTTCTGAATTTTTGATCTCTTTCTATAGTGGTTTATATGGATAATTGTCACCTAGTGCCTCCCATGTTTAATTTATTTATTTTGCCTATGAATGGCGTTTTCTAAACTATACAGTATTAAAATGGCCTTAAATGACATCATTCTTGATGCTTAATGCTGTCACTTTATGAACACACAGGAATAAAAAGTGCTGTCCAGATCGGCATCGAATTAGTTTAGAAACAGATTTGCCTGGAAAGGTGTCTGATGTAGCTGTGTCAACTGGAAATGTAACTGTGAGTTAATTTTTTAAAAATCTTACCTTAATTGTTCTATACTCTACTATATAGTTAGAGAATAATTGTGGTCTAAGATGAAAGTATTAGATCTCCAAAAATGAACTCATTTTATTTGATCTCCGAACACCTGGCTTTCGGGCATTATTTCACCTCATAAAAGAGATATTGTGCTTGGTGGAATGAAATTGCAACCTTTCTCCTATAATACAAAAATTGACGTATTCCTCAAACATTTTTGGTAAAATTCCATTTGTGTCAATCGGATAGAAATCTGTTTTAAAGCAGCAGACTTGGGTGCAGAGGTGAAAGGACTTGAACCTCACTTCCCCACAATTCTTCTCCCCAAACATTTTCCCTAAATGGGAAGCCAGTGCTGTAAGTGAACTTGAGTGAGAGAAAAGCATTCAGGAGTGCCTTCTATACTTCATTTTTTATTGAAAAATTCCTTTGCACCCCTTCCTATGTAATCTTAGTTTTTTAGGCCCTGTTACAAGCTGCTGTAAAGAAAATGTGTGGTGTTGGTGCTGAATTTCAGGAACAAAAGCATAGTTTGGGTGAAGGATGCTAAATATCTTTTTCATAGAATTGTGTGGCAATGCTTCTGGCATGCATTTGTGCTCTTTCAGATTCTACCTCTTTTTATTGTGGATGCAACAACCTACTTTGGCCGCATAGTAGATAAAGAGAAGGATGTCTACACAGCTTTTGCAGAAGAAATGAATCTATATTACAAAACAGCTAGCAATTGCATCTCTGCTGAGACAGTGGAGAAGCTAACAGTTTATGCATTACAGGAAGAAAACACATTCCACCGGTAACCACGAAAGAGCTTTTTTTAAAATGGGAATATTTAGTAAAGATTTGAACATGAATTTGGCATGAGAATGGCTGGGGCGGGTATTGGAGGTTAAGGGTGTTGTCATCACCAGCACTGTTGTGTCAGGGCTGCAGTCTGATTTTAGGGTTGTTTTAGTGCCACAAAGGAAGAAGACTTTGAGGAGGTAGCCATGCTAGTCTCTGCAAGTCTATTAGGCAAAAGCCAAAGAAACAAAACAGAAAAAGACAAAAACATGTGACACCTTAAAGCAGGGGTCTCAAACTCAATTTACCTGGGGGCCACTGGAGGCAGAGTCTGGGTGAGGCTGGGCGCATCAGATTTTCCGCCAAGCGGAGCAAGAGCCCGAGGAAACCACCCAGGATTAAACAGATTTAATCAGAGGTGCTAGAAAGGAGTAGTACAAATGCAGCATCAACAATTAAAAATGAAACATCTGATCAAGCACTTACATTGCTGTCTGTGTAATTTATGTCAGCTGTTGAGGCTTTCCACATATTTCTTTTACACATCACCCCCGAGCCGGGGGGGGGGGAGGAGGGCATGACAAAAAAAATTTTTAAAACCCTGACAGAATTCTCCTTGCCAAAGGAGAAAAGCCCCCACATGTACCTGGGAAATTAAACATAACGGGGCGGGCCCCCCGTAGGTGCGCACACGTGCATGCACATATACACACATACGGAGGTCCGGCAACCTTCCTCTGAGGGCCCCCCTCAAAAAAAGGCACACTCAGGAGCAGCAGCTACCATAACAGAAAAGTAAACTTTGCGAGGCGAGCCCAGGTAGCCTCCAGAGCCGAGGCGGCTGAAGCAGGACGAAGAGGGGGAGGGGGAGGAGGAAGCACCACCAGGCTCTGAGGTGGCTGCTGGCCAAGCTGGTGCTGGGATTGCCAAGAGAGAAAGAGAGCCAGAGAGCTGCTTCCCTGGAAGAGGCAGCGGTGGCGGCAGCTGCTATTGGCAGCTTGGAGGCACTCTTCGAGGACAGGACAGGAGCGAGCTCCGCTCTCAGGCATTGCTCAGCGGCAGACAGATGGGCTGGCTGGCAGGCTGAAGTTCCGGATAGAGGGTGCAAGAGGCACTGTCTTGGGAGAGAGCTGGTGAGCGAGGCGAGGCTTTTTTGGACTCTTGACAGCAGAGGACGCGTGGGCACTTCGGGGGGGGGCAGGCAGGCGGGGCCACAAACTATCGTCCAGCGGGCTGCAAATGGCCCACAGACCATGTGTTTGAGACCCCTGCCTTAAAGCCTATTATACTTTCGTGGACACATCCAAAGGAAGAAGAGTTGCCATTTACCACCAACACAGAACTGTAGTTTATTCTAAACAGATTTAATCAGAGGTGCTAGAAAGGAGTAGTACAAATGCAGCATCAACAATTAAAAATGAAACATCTGATCAAGCACTTACATTGCTGTCTGTGTAATTTATGTCAGCTGTTGAGGCTTTCCACATACTTCTTTTACACATTTTCTTAAAGGGTTCAAGTGTTGGAGGTGATGCCGAAAGAGAAAAGTTGCATGTTTCACAATGTGCATATCAGGTACATAGATGAAGGCAGGACTGGTCAAGTTCAAAGTTACCGCTTGCTTCTCTTACCAGAACCATTTCAACTGTTGCCCCCTCAAGCTGTGGAGTTCATTATTTGCAGGGTTAGACCCATTGATAATGAAGTAGAGTGGAACCCAAAGGTAAGTTTTCTCTTGTTTGAATTCTTATCTTTTGGGCAAGTGGTTTAATTTGTTGCAAGCTGATGAGTTCCAAAGATTTTGTCGAATTGTCTTTGAGTAAACAGTGTTGTTGGTGCTGGAATCTTTGTAAAGAATGACCTGTTCAGGGTGTGGTGGTTTTTATTTTTTTTATTTTTTTCCTATATTTCTTCATTGTAGTCTCTGTGTATTTCCATTAATATATCAGTGCCTGCAGAAAGCTATCTTTTTGGGACCTTCTAGATAAAAAGTTTTGAATGGTAGTTGTGAATGCACCGGACCCTAAAGGGCTGCCAGGCATTCAGTCAGAGAGCTCGACAGGCACTTATCTACCACCTTTGTGCTGGGGCAAGTCCCAAGACCTCAGCAGTGCAGCATAAGCCCTTGGAACAAGTCTGACCCAAAAAGAATACTTTGCACTTACTAGGAACCCAAAGGTAAGTTTTCTCTTGTTTGAATTCTTATCTTTTGGGCAAGTGGTTTAATTTGTTGCAAGCTGATGAGTTCCAAAGATTTTGTCAAATTGTCTTTGAGTAAACAGTGTGGTTGGATTTAGCCAGACCCTGCTATCCAAGAGACCAGTCCTTTGGTAGAATTTTTATAATTAATTTTTATTAGAAAAATAGAGTTTCATTAGAATCAGTTTATATTGCATAAGCATTAGCATCAATAACATATTCAAAAATCATTGCAGTTAAATAAGATAACTATTTCCCATTTAAAATAATAAACTAAACTGAACTACAGAGACTATGGTGGGCTATAGTGGGCTATGCCCCCACCTCCTGCTTTCTGTAAGGGAAAATTTTGCCTTATTAATTACCACAGCAAGTGTCTCTTGTTTGAGGGCGGCCCACACAACCTCATCAAGCAAAATTTGTTCAGGTTTCTCCACACAGACATGATAAAACTGCAGTGCCAGACTAAAAGCTTTTTTTTCTGCGAAGAGTCTCTTGGCAACAACCCTGTGACCAGTGACCTCCATCTGCTAGTCCCCATGGATCCTAAGAGTCTTTATGACTTTGGTCACCTCTGTCACAATTGCCACTGGTAAGTCTGACAGAAACGCTGACTCAGCAGTCTTCTGCTTCATTGCAAACACTTTTGCCATGTGAATTAACATGGACATAGCCTAAAATGTTATCCTTGGTATCAGCCCCATCAGTCCCAAAACTAAAATTGTGCAAGTCAAGGAGAAAGTAAGTTGAAAAGAAAAAAGTCAAACATACTGTTACAAGCTGACAAGACCAGTCATTAAGGAGGTGCAGGTGATTGTCAGTGAACTGCCTGTAGAAATATAGATTTCTTTTTGCAATATTTGTTCTTCAAGTAGCTATCACACGAACCACTCTTTCTTCTTCAACAACTGCTGGTAACTGAATTTTTGTTGCTTTTTGAATTAATAGAAAAGAGGGATTGCATTCTAACATGTGCTGAGGGGTTGCATGTGCTGAGGGGAGAAGGTTGGGCTACTGCCCAGACTCTTCATTTAGAAAGTTCTACAGGCTCATACCATATGATGATCAGATACTAAAAAGCAATCCATTTCTCTTGTACTCAAGTTTCTGCTTGTTGTTCTTCTTGGCCTCTGTGAATCACACTGTGGGTGATCCGCGCCTGCGCAGAGCCTCTTCAGAGTATTCTAGAATTTCTGCGGTAACAAAAATCTCATTAGAATACTGCGCAGAGCCTCTTCAGAGTATTCTAGAACTTCTGCGGTAACAAAAAACTCATTAGAATAGACCCCTCCTCCTCAGTATAAGTACCTTGGCGCCAGGACTCTCCCTTCAGTTTCTTTCAACTGCCGCGTTGAAGAACCTCATACATCTGTCTTCTGTGAGTCTGAAAGTGAAACAAGTCCTTTTTACTGCTGAACTTAATTTTTTTCTCTTTATTACATATGGAAACTTTAGTTTTCTTCTCCGTGCCTCGGCCTCCAGCCGTCGCCTCCCCCTCCCTCACTCTGATTTTAATTTTTCTTCTCTTTATTGTTCATGGCTGCTTTAGGCTTGTTCAAGCACTGCATGATTTGCGATAACAGTATCCTGCTGTTGGATGGTCGCACAAAGTGCCTTTTTTATTTAGGCAAGGCGCATCAAACCTCTTTGTGCCCTCATAGTCAAAATTTCAAATGAGGAGTCTTCCTTTCTTGCCTATCTCGACTCAAGCTCTGCCTCTGGAAACAGTCTGCAACCGGCAAAACCTATGGCTCAAACTATATGCAAAACCACCTCACAAGCTAAAGCCATGGAAAAAGCCATTGCAGAATCATCAAAACATCGTTCCTCCGCTACTCCATCTCACTCTGATGCGCCTTCCACTTCATCAAAAACTTCTAAGATGCACAGTTCTAAACAGCCGCCATCAAAAACTTTGACATTGAAGCCTTCCGGAAAGCAAAAGCCTCCTCCCAATCTAGTTTCCGGTCCCCGACAACCAAAATTATCTAAACCACTCAGTTATCACGCCACCTGCATTACTTCCTGTATAGCTGGTGTGTGTGTATATTTGATGTACTTGTGCATATTTAAAGAAATACGAAATTTGGGATCAGGGGGCAAGTGCCCTACCTTGCCTAGGCAGAGTCTGGGTGAGGCTGAGCCACATCAGATTTTCTGTCAAGCGAAGCAAGAGTCCGAGGGAGCTGCCCATGAGTTTCCTGAGCCCTTGCCACCGGCCATGACCCCCTCCTGCTCCTTCTTCACTACTACCCCCACCAGCAGCAGCAGGACGAAGAAGTGGAGGAGGGAGGGAGCACCAGCGACTGCCTAACGGAAGGGAGGAGGAGGGCACGACATAAAATTTTTTTAAAACCTCACAGAATTCACCTTGCCAAAGGAGAAAAGCCCCCACCGGTACCCGCGAAATTAAACAGAACAGGGCGGGGGGCCCCACAGGTGTGCATGCACAGACATGCACACACATGCAGGTCTGGCAACCTTCCTCTGAGGGCCCCCCTCAAAAAAAGGTGCACTCAGCAGCAGCAGCTACCCCCACCACAACAGTGGTGCGAGGCAAGCCCACGTGGACTCCAGAGCCGAGGCAGCTGAAGCAGGATGAAGAGGAGGAGAAGGGTGCTGAGGCAGCTGCTGGTCGGGCTGGTGCTAGGGGTGCCAAGAGAGCCACTTCCCAGGAAGAGGTGGCGGTGGCAGCAGCTGTTGTTGGCAGCTTGGAGGCACTCTTCGAGGATGGGCCAGGAGTGAGCTCCGCTCTCAAACATCACGCGGCAGCGGCTCGGGGAAAAGGGCCGGCAGCGTGCCTCGCTCAGCGGCTCTCCCCCAAGACAGCGCCTTTTGCACCCTCCATCGGGAACTGCAGCCTGCCAGTCAGCAGACAGGCGGGCGGACTGGCAGGCTATAATTCTGGATGGAGGGTGTAGGAGGCACTGTTTTGGGAGAGAGCCGGCGAGCGAGGTGAGGCTTTTAAAAAAAATCTTGACAGCAGAGGACGCGTGAGTGCTTTGGGGGAGGCAGGCAAGGCGGGGCCACAAACTATCCAGTGGGCCGCAAATGGCCCGCGGGCCGCGTGTTTGAGACCCCTGATCTAAACAAACCAAATCAAAGACCCCGGCAGTCCCTCTACAGCAGGTTTCCAAAGCCGGCCATTTTATTTCTGTAGGTTCACCCTCTGATGATGAAGGACTTCCATCTCATCAACCGGCTTCTCAGTCACTGACATGGGACGAACGAGTAGACCGTCTTACTTCCTTGCCTAATAGTCCCCATCATTCTATCCTCCAAATCCATCCACTGATGCCTCCCCAGAGAGAGAGAAGAACCTGAGCCTTAGCCAGACACAGTGCCCTATTCTATGCCATTGGGCCGGCCTCCATACCCACTGACACACTATCAGGCACATACAGCATATGAAGCAATTCCACAAGCACGTGTTGATCATTCCTGCACACAGCATGCTCATCGGGTAGACGTTTGTCCTGATCAGTGCTTCTCTAACCTGCCGGCTGCAGATGCTCGACCAGCTGCCTCCTCTGGATGTATTAGCATTGCGCCAAAAACCTCCATCTAGACAACTTTCCATGTTGAAGAGGTCTTAGCACTCAGAGGCACGCGGCCATCATATGACTCTTCATCAACCACTGGCAAAAATCAGGGCAGTCGAGAAACACGCTTGCACCCGTGAAGCATTTGCAGCCCCTCTGACTACATATTTTCTAGCTCAAAATGATGGAAATCACTCCTCTCACTCGGCATCCCCAGCCTCGATGTACTTTTCAGACCAACCTGTGCGTCCACCAAATTGGCCTCAGCAGCCTTTTCAACATCATAGAGACACTGGTTCCAATATCAATGACCCTCGATATCCATCCTGGTTCATGGACGCCCCACTTTGATCTTTCTCAGTTGTTGGCCCTCAGAAACGGCACCAACTTAGACACTCAGTCTGTCAATATAGAGATGCAGACTTCGACACAGAGATCCCATCTGGTTTACCTCCGTCCATGGACACACCTTCGACATTGATACTGGTCAACAACTCTCAACATCGACAAATGTCCGTGGACATGCCACACTCTTCAGTGGCAGACCACAGTCACCATTACTATGATGACCATCCTCTCGACACCAAGGTCGATCGACGTTCTATCGACTCCAGGCTCTATCCCACTGTTTCAGAACATGGTTCCCGACCACAAATTCCATCTGTGCGTCTCACATCACCAGATTCTGACCTCACAGATATAGATCCTCCATCCCCAGCAGAGGATTTCCAAACTTACGCTCAACTCATGATCCGCATGGCTAAGTCATTAGATCTTTAAATCAGTCGCCCCACAACCAAACTGGCAGAATACCTTTATGATCCTATTTCTAAGGATACAACTACCCTACTCCATATTTCCATGCTACCATCTCTTCTTAGCACTGGTCAGTGACCTTGGACTAAATCAGCCTCCTCTCACTCAGTCTCGAAAAGAATCGATAATCTCTATAAGATATACAACCCTGGAGCACTTTTTCTCT